CGTGGCAATCGTTTATCTTCACATTTCCTTATACTTTGACTATGCAAAGCGGTTTTTAAACGTCTGTGAACATTGCATAACTTGCCCACAAAGCTATAACAATAGCATATGCAATTTCTTATGTAAACTTGCTTCTATAAATTGTGTAAACTTGTAACATCACTGTGAACTCGAAGATTGAATGTTTGTTGAGGAAATTATTAAGGATAATAATCAATATTTTATTATATGACGTGCGTAAGGAGGTGTAAAATATACCTATAGCTATTAACGAAACCTAATGTGTCGTCAATAGTTTCATCAAAATAAAGAAGTTAAATATAACCATAGTTTACATATAATTTATATTATCTTCCATATAATGATATAATTAGTTGTGTGTTTGTGCTTTGAATTGATTGTATATTATAATGGGAGTTTATTAAAAAAAACAATTTAATAATAAAAAATCTAATCTGATAGAAACTACTTTTTTCTTTATGTGGAAGGATCTGTCATGCATTGACAGTTAGTTACCAGTCAAACTTTTTTTTTAAGGGGGAAATCATCGTATGACTACTCCCGCCTGGGTGAGGCGGAAGGGAGTGTCAGACTCTTACTGACTAAAAACCACCCTGTTCCTTCTCCAGCGCTGCGAGCTGGAACTCCGGTAACCCGTTGGGTTCTCCGCAACACCAATAGGAATAATTACCTATAGCTATACGTTTTCCATTTCAAGTATTCAAGTCAAACACATGATCGTTTGCGCTAATCAAAATCATGAAAGTCAAGAAACCCGACGGTACACACTCACCTCACAAATTATGCAACAAGCAATTACTTTCATTTATCTAGACTACCACTACATCTAGATGCACTACCCAGATAGACTAGACATCACAATTAGCCTAACATAACCCTTATCAAACGATGTTCAACAAATATGTAAACAATAATTAGATTATCTAACTGATAATAAGTAACTGCCCAAGATTGCGTCACGGTAGTCCACGGTTACCCAACTCTAACGGTTACGAGTTAACCGCCACACGTGTGGTTAATCGGTTAACCATGGTTAGGATTGGAATTCTAACTTTTTGAGTTCAAGTTGCAAGTTTTCAATTATGTATTGGTTAACTGTTTTTGTTTCATGGTGTACTTCCTTAATTATGGTTGTGGGCTGCGGTTGCGAAGTAGTTCATATAAATTATTATTATGGTGCATCTACACCAGACATCAGGCACGCATTTCATGAAATAGTCGCAAGTGTTTTGCAAAATTCACTTTAAATTAATGAGACTACATACAGGGGGTAAACAGAGCGCTCCCGTAACGCTGACAAAAAGAATTTGTTTTTACAATTTTAATAGTTTTTTGTCACACTTGCTTGTAATCTTGTAATCAACTGATTACAACCATTATTACATTAAAAAATTGTTGAATTCTTTACCTTTATAAAAATAAATATTCTATAAAGATTTATGTTTTTACTATGACCTGTCGGCGTTTTTCGGGGGCGTTTCGTTTACACCCTGTATTGAAAGGAGATCGTCAGAAAAGGGGTTCTCAATTCCGATGCAATCTAGTTTCGGTATCTCGCTAAAATTCTTACGTTCAAATCACTGAAGACGGAATGAACGAACGTAATTTGTTTTTGATCCACGATGTGGGAAAGACATAACATTACACAGTCTGTTCTTTAATAAACCTGAACCTTTTGAACTGCGATTCCCAACTTGTCTCCCAAGTCTGAAGGTAAAGTTTTGCATTCGAGGGTATGCCATTAACTATTTAATAATGGAACGCCTTTTGCAGCAAAGGAGTTCCAATATCGAGCAATGGACGGTCACCGCCTGTTGATGCTGAATGAACACAAACAGGAAGGCACACAGACGTTCCATATATCTATAAACAATAACAATAAATGAATATTCAAATCACAGACAATACAGTTATAACTATAACGGTAACTGGGTGGTCACTGGTCAGCAACCACCAGTACCTATATACACTGATAACGGTAACACCAACCTTTAATGTTTAATTGGTTGTCGTGATATGAATCCTTAAGGCTCATGGTTGGTGGCATTTGGTTAAAGGGACTACATTGGAATATTTAATGAGATCATTTTTATGGTTGTGTGTGAACTAGTTTAAGAATGAATGAATGAAATAGTCTATGTGCTGTTAGTCAGTCATTAAAGGAGGACAATCGTCTACTTCGTAGGTATCTTTTCTGCTGTGACCAAGCTACTTCATAAGCATGAATATTTTGACCTGAAATTCACTTTAAGGGCCGAATTTTCAATCTTAAGCTTATAATGAAATTGACAATTAACAGTTATTAGTATGTAAGAATTGTCAAAAATTGAAAGTTATTCTTTTGATAAAATTTAACAGGCGTTGAAAAAATCGCCCCTAGTAATAAACATCTCCGGTTATTAATGAATGTCAGACATAAAGAAACATTTCTTGTGTATTGGACAAATCGATTGATCGAATTAAGAAGCTCTTGTCCATTGGTGACACACATACATCTTCTAGACAACAACGTTGGTCCCGGCATAAAAAACATAGTACACTTTATAACAAACAAATATGACACTTTATATCCTTTTTATAAATCTTTATTTATTTACAGGGTTTTTTCTTAAAAGAAAACGACACCCCGATTATTGAGTAGTAAAATAACACTTACAAAAGACTTAGATTTAGGTTAACCTACCCGCAACCTGGTACCCATAATAATAGTATTAATAATTGTGTGTCCATTACATTTAGATTAAAATTGTCTAAATGGTCTCTGAAGAGTTGGCTTCGGCCCCTCGTACGCCTTCCAAATGACCGGGACCCTGTGGTCCCGTGAATGGTAAAGACATACATATTAATAAGAATTCACTTTATATCTTTGTGAAATACTAAGAAATATAAGGAAATACAGTACAGTGTCAATGGAATGACACAGAGTATACAATGTGTTACAAATGAGGTCACATTGAAACTTTTTAACAAAGATTTTAACAAAGAAATTGTTGCACCTCTGTAATAAGTGCGAAACTATTTCGTTAATTTTTATATTATATAACATGTAATGATATTGTACTGAATACCTGTTCATCATTGTTTTGCAGTAGAAAATAGTTTAGAGATTTGTAAAGAACTTTGTTTTGAGGTCATCTTATTTGTATGAAATTCATTCATTAACTAAAATCGCGGGTTATTCACGTGAATATACTGAGAAAAGGTCTACTAGTTTCGAACCATAGAGGGATTCTTCTTCATGAGCAGCCTGCGCGATGTCGCGAAGCCTACTGATATTTTAGTTAATTTTGTATGTCTCACAATAGTTATTTTAACCCTTTGAGTACCGTCATTATAGACACAATTAATCTGTCAAACACCGAGCGGTCACCGGTGACCGCGACCTATTGTTCTTTAATTGTGTCTATAAAACCGGTACTCGACGAGTTAAAGAACAATAGATTGCGGTCACCGGTGTCATCGCGGTGTTTGGCAGTTTAAAAACAAATTCATTCATGTTTTTTTTAGCGATGATACATTCATAGCCGTATATTTATGGATGTAACCTTAAAAACTGTATATACCTATCATGATCCTTTGTTCTTTTTAGTCCTTCAGAAGGAAATATGGCAGAGGAGTATTATATCTTCTATCACCCAGTCAACCCAACTGTAGGTTTATCCTGCACCTCTTTAAAGAACAAATACCTCTTTAAAGAATTCCTAAATTGTGAACGTTGAGTCGCGGAGAACCTAACGGGTTACCGGGGCTCCGGCTCGAAGTGCAGGAGTAGGAACGGAGTGGTTTTAGTCAGGTAAGAGTCTGACGCTCCCTCCCGCCTCACCCAGGCGGGAGCAGTCATTCGATGATATTCCCCCCTTAAAAAACCTGTGAACGTTTTGAGACATTTGCATATTGATATATTGATATAGTCATCTTTTGATTTACAATAACATTTTTTATTTTCTTCCAACTAATTAAATTAAATTAATCACAGTATTAACATCAAACTATGATTAAGTACTTCCTTTATGAAAAAGAGGCTGTACGTACATACGTATATACGATACGTACAAAATACATGTATGTATGTATTTTGTATAGTAAATATGTACATGTCGGAAAGGCTCTTGTTGTAGGTATAATTAAAGAAGATACGACAAACAAGTTAAATGGTTTCGTTCGAAACTCTTTTATTTCCTTGTTCACCTTGAACGAACATCGGCTAGCTCTTTTAATTTCTTTTTGATACAATATTTATCTTTTTGTAGATGTTTTTTAAAAGATAATTCATGCCAGAAATGGCTTTAGTGGATTGTATTAAATTACTACGCCATTTAAAATGGACAAGTGTTCTGATAAAAAAAACCCTGAAATAGGAAGTTGTTGGATACGGCATCCTTCTAATCGGTCAATCTAAAAGTTTTAACGTAGACTTTTGTTCAGCAGTAGACCGCAGAAGTTCACTTGTTTTAACCATATATCTAAATTATATTCATATCTTTTTATAACAGAACAGCGCCTACGCAAAATATCATCCAAGTCAATACATTAATAAATCTTCATACAAAAGACATCAACGCGCGACCGCCGCATGCGCATCTTTTTAGTCTATTTCAAAAAGTAACGATTGTGTTGCATACAATGTACAATGGAGGTTTTCTTGCTCCTATTGTGATGGAAGTATGCATTGTATGGTCGAGTTCATTCACGCAGTTCAAGTTCTTGAAATTATTGTATGTTTGTATGTGTTTTTGTATGATACTTGCTAAATGATTGACTAAGGCAGTTTTGTCATTGATTTACTTTCCATTTCAAAATATGATTTATTGTGATTTTTTCTTAAGAAATGTTAATGTATGTATAAAATATAAATTGAAGACTTATTTATATTATATACTATTTTAAGGTCTTCAATTTATATTTTCGTGTGGATTGTACGTATTTAAACTGATGATTTCATGGTTTTTGTACTAAATTTGATTTTCTTTTGTTCACAGGAAGTCACAACGTGGCTGTCACTACTGTTAGCAGTTTTAGCATTAGGAACCACAGGTAAATATATATATCATTAATATACTAATGACTAAATACATAAAAGACTATACATTTGTTGATACTGCCCATATAACTACTGGCCACAATTCCAGAATCTATGTTATTACTGCAAATTAAAAAAACTGACTGCCTCGTTGGCCGAGTGGTCGCAAGTGCGACTGCCGGGCAAGGGGTCACGGGTTCGATTCCCGGGTCGAGCAAAGTATTACTGGGTTTTTAAAAAAAATCTCAGGTGAGCCTATGGCCATATACCGGACACAATTCCAGACTCAGGAGATTCTCAGTTTATCCTATACGTGTATAAGTTTGCGTGCGATTATAAAACTTCATATACATATTTCATTTCATTTATGTATCGCCCGGTGTTATCTAAAATGTAAAAACAAAACCATACATTTATATGTATTTCCGTCCAATGACTTAATTTGTATAAACCTGCCACCCACGTAATTACCTTATTTAGATAAAACAGCTCTTAGAAGATCAAGAACAATCATGGTTTCCTTTTATAGAAATGTTTTATTTTTGCTTAAACACTGGCCATCAATTCAAGTGGTTGAGTAAAAAAACTTATTCAATAGATAATAATTATGTGTAGTTTTTATTTGCTATGATAGACATAACCATTTGGTTTATATGGTACATTTAAAAATGGTTTATTTTAGATATGTTCGTAAATATTACAGTGTCTTTATAAATAACTATCGTGAATACTAAATTAACTAAAAATCGCGGGTTACTCACGTGAATATACTGAGAAAAGCTCTGCTAGGCTATAGGCTCCGCGACATCGTCGCGAACGCGCACGCTGCTCATGAGGAAGAACCCTTCTGTGGTTCGAAACTAATAGAGCTTTTCTCAGTATATAAATTCAGATTTTTAATTAATTTACAGTGTCATACAATTCAAGGGACTTTTATCCAATATTTTAATTTAAGAATTTTTCAGAAAAAACTTTCTACTTTCATTATTGTAGAGGAGATTAGGTTATTTCTATGGCATCTTAGAGTAAAATTAACTCACTTAATTCTTACCAAGCTATAAGGAAGTCTTCTCTGCCTGTCCTTACTTTTAAAGTTCAACATTCTTGGCATAAAATAGTTCATGCGAAGTTAAATCATTTGCAATATGATGTACATTTTAAAGGACACAAAGGACGTATTTAAATCTCTCAAGTAACCAATACAATTCTTCATTTTATTTCACTTTTTTACAACTCTATAAATAAGTCTGCAAGAACAGTACAACAAAGCAAGGTAAATAGGAATCTACGTAAAATAAGCTGTATATTAGATAGGTTATAGGGTCCAAAATCGCATGGCAGGAGTTTCATTTAAAAAATGATAGTATTTTCCAATGTCATGTAAACGTGAGTGGTTGGAAGTGAATCCTGAACAATGGATCTCACGTTTTGCCGCATGCTGCGCCGGCGCATCGAGCGACGACCTTAGCTTACGACTATGTTCTGCAGTTTATATTTATAGTTCGAAGAAACTTTTATTATTTTGCATGATATATCTTGTCTGAAAATTTAAATAAATCTAGACATTTGTATAATGAATTAAGTTCAAAAGCTCTGCTGCTGAGCTTAACAAGGTTCTCGACATCGATTCCTGGACAAAGAATTTTTAATTCCCAGTACCACCACAGATGTTAGATTTAATCGAATTCGTATATCGATATGACATATCGATATGTAAAAACAAAAAAGCTTTTATTACTTAGTTTTAAGTACTAAGAACTCAGGCACGGCACGGTACTGCAGTCGATAAATAACTACCAAAAACTGATTAAACATCTTTAAGCCTCTTATTGTGTACACTTCTTTCCTTGAACGCATTATGGATTCTTGCAATTTCTTTGTGTCTGGTTACCGACCTTTGTTTATTTTCTTATTGTAAAAATTCATAAAATGTTAAAGCTGCGGGGAGAGGACGATGACCTTTCAGTACATGTGTTGTACTACACATATGGCAATTCCTTGTAACGAAGTTACTTCGTTAATTCATCTCGAAACTCCTAAGAGATCGACTTGAATAGTAGAGTATGTTAATTGTATATATCAGAGTCTATTAATATAAGTAATCTATCGATCTTAAATCAAGAATCTTATCTGGTGCTGAATTTATTAAACAATTTTAAGGTTTAAGTAGTTCAGCCGAAATATTAGCATACTAAGGTATTATATTATATTTGCGCCTAATGAGAAATAGAAAAGGAACACTTGAATTTAGAGATATACTCTAAAAACAAAATAAATTAAAAACAATAAGTACAGTACAAAGGGTTATTAATTGATTGATTTGCGCCTAGTTTGAAACAAAAAGCATGTCATTACCGACTTCAAAAAAAGGAGGAGGTACTATGTTCGGCTGATTGTTTTTTTTTTTGAGATTTATAAAGGACCATAAAAATAACAAAACGTGTTCAATAGACATAACCTCGACTAACATATTATATTCCCTGTCTATAATACCTAGGAATAACCACATAGGTATAGTATATGTACATTGTATTTAATATCAAGACAATACAATCAGAAGCCTTGCGAAGCCTTATTGAAAAGCTCGGAGATAACTTTAAAGCGATTCGTCTTGTGAGTCACAATGTGAATTCCTGTGCAGTGAGTAAGGCCTTCGAGATTCCGAGATCATGTAGTTATATAGCTGACTATGTTATATGTATTGTATTGTTATAGAGTGAGTAATTGCACCTACGAATGCATACTCCAATTAGTTACAAATTGAAAAGTTATAGTTGTCTGTTAACTCATTTTAAGTTTCAAGATATAAACTCTTTTGAAAAAAGAGGTTTTATGTTATGGTTTAAATTAAAAAGAAAACATTTTTACATTATGTTAGCTAAGTATTTGCTTGCAACTATTTTTTGTTGGCAGTCAGGGGTTAACATAGCTAATTATGAATGAGTACCTAATATGTGTGGTGATTTCGCAAAGGCGTCCCGGGTCACGGCCACAGGTAAAGGAGGAACACCTCGATGGTTTTAGCCGGTAAGAGTCCGGCCGGCACACAGCTCCGTCATCCCCACGACGTAGGAAGTAAAAGTGGATTTTCATAGCTATATAATTTTTTTTTTAATATAACATCATTGTTGTTTTCCTTAAAGCCAGTTTTGACATTATATTCAATAACTACTTCCACACCCATGTACTAGAAGGCGAGGCAACAGCTACAAAAAAGGCGGACTATTTGAGCGACTACCGAATAAACAACTAGACAAAGGTCATTCAAAGGTTTTAATATTGATGATATATGAGCCAAACCCAATCTTATGTCGTAGGCCGAGATGTCAAGTGACCATTGAGCGTGTGAACGGAACACATAACACCTCGTTGCGCAGTCGGTCAACTGCGAAGCTGTGTTTAGTCATGAAAGTCATCCTTCTTGTGGTTTTACTAACGTAGTTTATTTCTATAGTCGTACGATAACATGTTATTATTAGACGGAATTAGTTTTCACTGTAGTATTTTCATTGTGACTATCTTGTGATATTAAAATATACTGAATTAACCAAAAATAGCGGTAAACCACACACGCGGTTCATGAGGACGAGTCCCTCTGTGACTCGAAACTAGTAGAGCTAATCTCAGTTCCTATATTTACGTGATTAACCTGTTATTTTTAGTTAATTTAGTATCATTGCTGAATAAAGGCAAACCTCTTATTGAACGGATGTGCCATAAATTTCATGCTTGGCATGTGGTGTGCTGGTCGCAATTACGTCACTGGAAATTTAGAGGATGTCAGTTTCCGTCCTTTACTATTTAGCTAACTGGTTGCAGTTTTAGGACATAGCTGAAATAGAAAGGTTATAGGTAAAAACTTAGTCTATGATTTTTTCCGAATCTGATGGAACGATATAGATCACAACCAAACAAGAATGTGACGTTTTATTAAAAAAAATACTATTATTGAAATTGGTTCAATAATTTAGCAGTTACGCTGTAACAAACAGACAATACATTCCGCATTTATATTATTAGTGTAATACAAGGTATCATGTCACTATAATTTCACGTACACGTTCATCAAAAATCGTTTTTATAACTCTTACTTAAGAACAAATAATCATAAATTAATTGTATTGTTGATTGACAAATGATGTATTGGAGTTCTTATTAATAGTTTCATCAATATGATTCGATAGATTGCTAAATTGAAGGCTTGATGTTTGGCAGATGATTTCAAGTTGTATAATAATTGCAACAGAGTTCATAATTGAAGATTAAAATCTGAATCTAGGCTAAGTAGGATATAGTAATGTTGTAAGAATCTGTCGAAGATATTGCGATCGGGAAATAATTTAAAAATAAGTGCGAAATGATTTTGCAAACTTAAAATCACACCTTTGTTAGAAACCACAAAGTATATTTTGCTCTGACCTTTCTTTGATTTTTTGAATTACAAAATGTTTTACTAGGTTCTCAGATAAAGAACTAGACTCATTCGATCCCTAGCTTAAGAAAATCATAGGCAAAACCATTGTTCACCCCACTGCCCCACAAACCAAACCGACGGTTTTGTGGGCCTTAGATTATAACAAACTTACTTACCTTTGTGATATAAAATAAATAAATAATAATAATAAAAATTCCTGGTATCATGCCTACGTGGATTTTTGTCCAGCATTTAACATAACATCACGCCTTTTATCCCCGAAGGGGTATACAGAGGTGCACATTATGCCACTGCAGCCCACTGTAGCATACGAGGCAGCCACACAGAGAACAGTATTAATACTGGGCTGGCTCGTTAGCCGAGTGGTCGCAAGTGCGACTGCCGGGCAAGGGGTCTCGGGTTCGATTCCGGGTCAAGCAAAGTATTGATGGGTTTTAAAAATAATATCTCAGTAGTAGCACGGAGTCTGGAATTGTGCCCGGTGTATGGCAATAGGCTCACCCCCTATTACATGGGACTCATAACATAAAAAGTGAAAAGTGGGTGTTACATTGTACAGTGGCATAATGTGCCTCTGGCTTCGGGGGTAAAAGGCGTGATGTTATGTTATTTTAATTGTTTTAATGTATTTCGTTAATTACTTAATTAAGCCTATAACAGTCAATAGAAATCTGTTAAACGGAAATTCTCTGCTAGCATAGATCCCCAGTAACCCTTGTGGCGCTTTAACATGTTAATGCTCAAAGCCTCAACACCTATTACATGTAGCTCTTAATGTGGCTTTACCTACATTTGTCTTTAACCCTTAGGAGCGTTATAAACTAAACATGTAACACCAAACAGCAGAGAAAATCCAGCTTTCACATCATCATCAAGCTTAAGGTCGTCCGCTGCGTTAGGCGTGCTTACGGCGCGGGCGTCCGCGTGGCGTGCTGTTTCATGTAATCCCATAGATCAGCACTCCATGCAGCGGGACGCCTGTCACATGCTGATCTGTAAGATTACATGAAACAGCTTAAGTGGCCACTGCTGATCAAAGGCCTCTTCTCACACGGAGAAGATTTGATCATTGATCACCACGCTTGCTAAATGCGGGTTGGTCATTTCAAGCTTATGCTTAGAAATTATTAGGCCAAGTTTCCTCACTATGTTTTCCTTCAAAATATGTCTGTGGTGTCTAAATAATCTTAGATAGTACATATAACTCGGAAAAAGTCACATTGGTACTTGCCGTTGGTAGGTTTTTGTTATGTTGGTGGATTAGGAAATTATAGTCGGATTTAAAAATAACATAACATAACATAACATCACGCCTTTTATCCCCGAAGGGGTAGGCAGCGGCGCACATTATACCACTGTGTAATGTAACACCCACTTTTCACTATTTATGTTATGAGTCCCATGTAATAGGGGTGAGTCTATTGCCATATACCGGGCACAATTCCAGACTTCGTGCTACTACTGAGAATATTAAAAAACACAGTAATACTTTGCCCGACTCGGGAATCGAACCCGAGACCCCTTGCCCGGCAGTCGCACTTACGACCACTCGGCCAACGAGGCATTTAAAAATAAATTACAATAAAATCAATAATAATAATTAAATTAATAAATTAACATGCAGGGCGCACGACGTGTACACACACTGAGTATGACGGGTAGACAGCAACGTTAATAACGAGTGTCCTACCTTATATAACACATTATAGTTAGTGAGGGGCCACTACTTACTAATTAGTGATGTTGATACAGGCTAAACGTACATGTAACAGTTTCAAAGCCATCTCATCACTCTCTCTCACTCTCATGCATGAGAATTGAACGTTTTAAACGTCCGACACAGTATAAACAATGTTTATTGCGCCTTTGAGCCACCACGGTATTTTTACGAATCGGGTTTTTTTTAACAAAATGGAATAAACATAAATAATTCTCTATTTGTAATTTTCCGTTACATTAGACACAGTGCTCCGGTTGGCAAGCAACGTCGGTACGGTCGTTTGGTACTAAGTGTTAAAAAGTAACACTTTCAGTTATCCAATAAGTCTGGGTCTAGAAATCCAGTCGTGCGTTAACTTTGTTAGTATACTGAGTATTTCTTAATAATGAAATGCTTTTAGTTTTGTTTTTAATGAACAAATGAGTACAGACATAATTGATTGTGTTATTGTTCAGAATTGTCACGTTTTGAGTAAAAAAATCTGTTTTGGACATGATTTTCTGATTCTGAAAAGAAAACAATATACTTTAATGGAATGGGAATGAAAATTATGTAGACAAAAACAAATAAATGAGCTTTGTTGGTGGGTTAAGATTATGAATCATAATATCGCTTTTCTAGATTCATAAATTCTCTGTAACTAATAGGATTAAATATTAAACATCAGTGCTTTAGGAAAAAGAAGTGCATGGGTGAAGTTAATGTCTGACGGCAATATATTATTGCTATCTTTTCTGAATAATATTATTAAACACTTAGCGAACGACTACCACATAGCTACATTACATAATCTCACTACATATCACATTTCCTCTACAATATGATGGCTGTATGGTAGATACAACAAAGCACGGCCTGTCACAATCTCTGCCGCGTCCATATTGCCAGCTATTACACGCCTCACAAGTTACGTGGCCACACTTACTGCTCTGCTTTCCTCGTCCGGGAAAACTTTAATCATAGTTATACGGATGATATAAAATGCTATATCAACATGTTTTTCTGTGCAAATGTTTGTTCAACGTTTATTTTGATCAGTTTTATTGCTACAGTCGAATGGAAGGCGAAACTTTTGCTAAAGTCAAATCATTAATAATAATTACAAAAACGGGTATTTTTTAACTAAAAATCGCGCATCCTACTGACATCGCCGCGACCCCGCACGCTGTTCATAAGGAAGAACCCCTCTGTGGTTCGAAACTAATAGACCTCTCAGTATATTTACGTGAGTAACCCGCGCTATTTAGTTAATTTAGTATGTCTCACGATAGTTATTAGAAAAAGAGATACTTTTTAACATGAAATATCGCCAATAAAACCTATATATTTATTTTTGTAGATCTTTATATTAAGATATTGCTTGTTTTCCCAAAAATTCATAGATTTTAACGAAAAGAAGAAACGAGAAACGGTAATATATTCCCTTTTTTAAGAAAACTTTGCCCTGTCCTAGGATTTTCTCCTGTGTCGTGGGTGCGTTTATAAACATATAAGTTCATATACACATCTTTACTTGACCCAGGAATCTTCAGACTACTAGTTTGAGGATAAATACTTTTTATTACGCTATTTTACTTTTTTCTTTTATTTTTAAATGTTACACTAATAAATCCAATGAAATAGAGAGTGTGGCAATAAGATATAATCCGCCTTAGTATTTAATTTTCCACAGTATAAGTGATTCGAAATGCTTTGCAATGTTTAGCAAAATGTCTGCCGTTGTTACTGGTGCTTAAATGTCAAGTATGCAATCTATAATGCGGTGGAACTTACCTGTTTCATTGTGGGGAACTAAAGGTTATTTATAAAAATTCGAAGAATGTTGGTTATGGGTTGTAATTAGGTTGTTTAGGGTGGAAGGTATAATTATTAAGGTTTAATCAAATATCATCACCACTTACCACCAGGCGAGATAGTAGTAAAATGTCGGCCCATCAAATAAATACGTGAAATAAAAATATATCGATCAATTACTGTATCATGATAGTACCATGTAATTTCTTTTATTAAAAAACTTTGCCCACAATTTTTTGGTGACGGGGGGAAACCTTTAAAAGGCGCACCCCGGTGGCCACCATCATCACCTATGGGGTCACCAAGTCTACTATAAAAGACTTGCTCCGGATCACACCTTATGAGTCAACTAGAAACAATTTATGATTTTGTGTTAGTATTGAACATTTTTGAAAAACTTTACAAACTCAATAATATTTGGACTAAAGCCCTGGGATCAAACCCTAGATCAGCAGGACCAACGAGTCTATCAATCTATCTAAACTGGATTTATGATAATATCATGACTTTTAAAATCTGTTAAATTTAATAAAGGAGAAGGTTTTTAAACATTTTACGGTTATTACAGAAATATTTGATTTTATTATTTTAATGTGCGCCTGCGCATAGTGCGCATATTTAACGTGTTAAGTAGCGGAACCTATTTGTTAATACGTTAAAATATTTGCTATCCATTGAGATGGCGAATTTTAACATTGAGTTTCGAAATAAGTTTTATCCTTATAAAAATTCTATTATTTACAATTTATTGTTAGATTTTGCAACTTTAATGCATCAATGAAAACGTTGCCAAGCAAATACTGGATGTTTTTACATTTCATTATATTTTTTTAAACCTACGAGAACTCGCGAATCCAATTACACTGACATATTTATTCACGTATTTTATCAACTACCCACAAAACATCTAAAATTTTATTACTTTTGTTTCAGCATCAGCAAGCGAGCCTCGCGTGGTATGTTACTACACAAACTGGTCGGTGTACAGACCCGGCACTGCCAAGTTCAACCCACAGAACATCAACCCCTACCTCTGCACACATCTTGTCTATGCTTTCGGAGGGTTCACCAAGGACAACACGCTCAAACCTTTTGACAAATACCAGGATATTGAGAAAGGTAATTTATCTTTGTTTTATTATTTGAAAATCTGATTAGGAGTCCCTCGTTGGGCGCCAAATGAATCTTTCAAATAATTGTAATTTTGCCTTTGCAAAAATTTTGGTGTTCCGTGCTCTCTTCTGTCAATAAACGAACAGAATTACATTTAAAAGTTTTAGGATATAATACTGGTCCCATTTGGGCGCCAATACATTCAAATAGTTTTAATTGGTTTTTACTAAATTCAAGTTGATATTTTTTTTGTTATCAAGTTAATTAAACAAAAATCGGGCCAAAACTGATCACTATTATAACTATTCCCTATTACTTGTCTAGGTGGATATGCCAAATTCACTGGATTGAAGACATACAACAAGAACTTGAAGACGATGCTGGCTATTGGCGGCTGGAACGAGGGCTCCACCAGGTTCTCTCCCATGGTCGGTTCCAGGGAGAGGAGGAAGGAGTTCGTCAGGAACGCTATTAAGGTAAGCAATATTCGCGGTGATGGTACATAGTATATTAGCGTGAAGTGAAGTATCTCACTTTCATTCACCGACTTTGAATGCCAAACACGTAATTAATACAGCCATGTTGCTAAATTGTATATTGTTTAACTTACATAATCAATCAATGTGAGAGCCCTGTACTTAACTAAATATTAAATTAGACTAGTAGAATACATTTGTGTCAGCTTCGAGTTGTCATGCTCACTTAAAGATCTCATTGGCGGTGGTACGTGCAGTGAATCGCTCGATTCTCTACAATATGGTTGAGTTGGGTGGTGCTGGTGTACGCGTCATGTTCGTGAACGGGCGCCGTCAAGCGGGACTGGTCAGCTCCAGACTGTATTTTTTACTGTCCTTTAAGGTTATTTTTTTTCGATCACTTTGACTGTATTTTAGTGTTATATTGTTCTCGCATAATAAAAACAACAAAACTATGTAACTAGAGAATAGTATTGTGAACCTGATTAAAAAAGATTAACCTATGGAGTTTCTTGCTCGTTCTTCTCCATAGGAATCAACACCTTGGAATGAGCAAATAGCTTCACTTTTAATTTTGTTGTTGACGTTCAAAATTACCTCTCGGGTCTAATTGAAATAAGTGATTTTGACATTGACTTTGAATATGCTCTTAAATTATCGCCTTTGAGTATTGTCTAGACTCAGTTGAATTTTTCTAATTACCAGCCTAATCATAATAATTACCATAACTTCCAACACTTTCATAAAAAATAAAAATGTATTGGGTCATTAGGGTTTGTCATCAATTATTATATTTTTACTTTATCGATAATCTTGTTATTCAAATACACTCGCCGGACATCAAAAGACATTACATTTGCGAAGTTATTACTTTCACCATAGAACTCTAATTACATTGCACCTTTCTATGTGAAATTAGATTAGAAAATACTACAATGTATTATGAATTATACGTCTACCGTGACTGTGAATTTGTACACAAATGGACGCCATTTTGTGTATTTTTCTCACAATAATGCTTTTTGTTAATTTTGCGAGAAATTCTAATTTTAAATATGATTAATGTTCTGCATTCAAATTAACTGTCACTTTTGTGATTCTGTGAGCTTTCTTTCCGCCATGTTGTTTTAAATGCATTATGTTTTTACAATGAAAGTATAATTAAGTACTGTCGCAAGTGCAGGAGTGTGTCGCACTTAATAAATTTGTCGTGACCTTGACTTGAGAACATTTTTTTCTTTCTCAATTGAATTTTTGTTTCATAACTTCACATCTCCTTTCACCTGCATTTTTGTTGCAATTCCATTTTAAAAATTCTCGAATGGTATTGCAGTAGGTAACTTAACGGTTTGTGTGTAAATAGAATATTGTTTTCGATGCTTTAAAAATAACTTACAAAATTGCGAAGATATATAGTTTCTCTATATTGAATAATAGATTCTAAACATTTTCTGCGATATGATAAAACTCTATATAATTATTATGTAGCTCATTGCTCTCAATGCCTCAATTTCAATTTTAGAACATGAGCTTCGTCATCGACAGAGCTGTTAAGACTCAATGCCCCAATGTCATCCCCAAAGTAGTCAATAAGAGGCTAGGTAGTAACGGACATAATTCGAATAAGTGGTCATCTAACTTACCACTACAAGACTACAGAAGGATCATTTGTTTTGTGTTTATAGTTATCAAAAAAGACCGCATTTGGCGCGCTGATTGGCTCCGATGAACCAACCAAACTCGTACTAAGCCTAAAGAGCAAATACCTTATCACTAACCACCAACCGTCTACCTCCACAGTTCCTCAGACAGAACCGCTTCGACGGCCTGGACCTGGATTGGGAGTACCCAGCATTCCGTGATGGAGGGAAGCCAAAGGACAGAGAGAACTACGCCAAGCTGGTGAAGGAGCTGCGTGAAGAGTTTGAGAGAGAAGCGGAGAAGACTGGCAAGCCCAGACTGCTGCTGACCATGGCTGTACCAGCTGGTATCGAGTATATAGAGAAAGGATTCGATGTGAAGACGCTTAATCAGTGAGTATTGTTTTATTAGCAGTTATTAGAGAATGTAAGAGGTAGAGAAGGGGTAATTTTTTAAATGTAGTTCATAGTAAAATAATTGGTTGTCAAATGGTTGATTTCACTTTCACATAACAATTTTGGACGTTGGTTCAAACAGTATTTAAAACAGAGAGTATCCAACGAAACAAGCAAACACTACTGAAAACACTTAACCAAAACATAACCCTGGATCCAGGACCTTGTTGAATGCAAGGACATTAATTAACATTTTAAAACTAGACTAACAAAGCCCCACTCAGTTGCAAACCTCAAAAATTGACTTGCTTTGTCTCAACCACAAACTAAAAAACAATTGTCCAACTTAATGATATTCATTTAAATTACAAAACAAACGGCGAGGTATCATGACATTCTACAAATTACTAAAGACTACACTGTGCAAATACATAATTGTCACATGCAAATATATACATTACGACACACACACATACATACACACCCATACACATCACGACACTTGTTTAATTTACTAGTTCAATGTCGAGTTGCCTAATAATATAGGCCGGTGAAAGTTTTAAGCGATCGCGATTTGGAGTGATTAGATTTAGGCCTTATTCTTCCGAGGAATAGGCTAATATATCCAGTAGTGATATTGGAAATAAGCTTTATAAAACCGTTATCAGAAATCACTAAATAACCGCTTGAATGGCGTATACAAGGCACAATAGAAAATACATCGTATATAGCATAGCTTGGGTCGAAGTTGTCGTTAAATATTAAAATAAAATATAAAAATCCTTAATTTCATCTGCTTTTTTCCCACTGGGGGTCACGCAGATATTTGTTGGAGGAACAGGAAGGATTTACAGTTAAAAACAAATAATAATAACTAATAAAAAAAATGTCTCACCTGTTATAACTTGTACCACACAAACCATGCCCGTAGTAAGAATGTCACACGATTGAAATCGGAATTTTAATGATTGCAAATGTAAAGCTTACACTAACAAGGCACTTCGCAACGCTCGCGAGCGCTGGGACAGATACCGCGACTTATGAACAGATACCAAGAAATTATTTTTAATACTATTTAATAAAACTGAGTAAAGTATAATAATATAAGTATTTTTTAACGTTGCCCCACATTAGGATTTTCTCCTGTGTCGTGGGTGCGTTTACAAAGATACAAGTTCACATAAACATGACACCCAGACCCGAAACAACAATTTCTATTTCTGGATCACACAAAGTGTTATTCCGTGCGGGAATCGAACCCGCGACACGTTGCACGGCAGCCGGTTGCCCAGCCACCGTGCCAGCCGTGCAGTCAAATAATCAAGTAATCTACAGAGAAAGTATATTTAGTACAAAGTAACTAACAAGTTATCACTTAACCTCCTATATGTATATAGATCCTGGCCTTATTAAAACGATAATTATTGTGCCTCAATTAATAATAAAAATAGTTTCACACGTAAGCTGTTCGAGGAAGCACGACTAGTTTCAAGGAAGATGGGGACTCATAACCCTTGAATAACAATTGGCCACGTGCATCGGTCATTCAGCTAGTAATTATCCAAAATAGGAAGTTTATCTTTCTTTCTGCAATAAAATAAACAGGGACTCAATACAAATACCCAAATAACTCTTTGAAAACACGACAGTATTCAATTACATCTTTCCACGTTTCCCATAGAATCACACAGCTTGTTCCCATCGCTTGATACACGTATTATAGTGTTCCAATGTTAGCCAGTAAGTTTCGCAAGTACCAGCTGATTTGAATGAAGCATACAATTGTAAGGTTTGAATGCACAATGGGAATGGGGGGGGCTGTGGTGGCCATGAAGAAGGGGATTATGCAAGATACGCCCTTGTGTGCCATGTGATACGCATGTGTGAGACGTCTTCAAGATTTTGCAAAAATGTTGTACTAGTTTAATCTTATTACATAATCTTTTTGTTAATAACAAACATGACTGTATGCTTTTAGCCCTACTAATTTTTCAATTGAGCTATCATTGTGCTCGTTTCACGGGAAGCTACAATATACAATCTTATATATATAAAAGAAAGTCATGTTAGTTACACTATTTATAACTCGAGAATGGCTAAATCGATTTGGATGAAAATTGGTGGGGAGGTAGCTTAGAACCAGGAGACGGACATAGGATACTTTTTACCCAATTCTTTTTTTTTACTTTTTACCGAAAATCAAGAACGGGAACGGGAAATATCGGGATTGCGCGTACGAAGTCGCGGGCAGAAGCTAGTATACTACTAGTAGCTAATAATATTACCGTTTACAAATGTTCGGTAACTTAGACTCGTACAAAATCATAATATTTTGAATCTACTCATTTTCCTTTCCTTCAGGAAAAATAAACTAAATCTAAAACATACACAATCAAGATACAAATCACACAACACCAAAACAAACGATTGTAAAAGCATTTAACTTATTTCGTAGTACTTGTTATTACTTTTATTACAATAATAAAACAATTGTTTGTTTGCAACCACAACGTTACATTTCCACGGACAGTTAACTTGTTAACAAAAATAAACATATTCATATAGGTAAGTACTTGCTTAGATTACATCCGAAGTTTCATCAAATCGTTGTTACTCTAGTTCTTTAAACAATGAGATGTGATAATTCTGATCTCTCGTCCTTCAACGCTCTGGTTACGTTCAGCTTTGTTCAAGATATTTACGCAAAGCCCTAGGGAAACAATGGTGGCCGATTGGGGCTTAGAGATAAAAACGTAGCTGACAATTGGAGATAAATATTTAGTTTAGATAAAGTACTTATGCTCTAGAACTTGTCGGTTTTTCTTAAAAGACGCTAGTAAAATGAGTCAAAAAAGTAGTAGGAGAATAAAAATTGTTTGTATACCAAAATTCTTTAAAAAAAATAAAAAAAATATCCTTTCACTTGTATACTTTAAAGGTAAATAAATGAACTAAATATTTTGTCTCAAACCATTAAATTGCAAATGAAACAAGTTAATTTATTTTTGGAAATAGGATACAGAACAGCTCTATTACAAGCCAATTTAAAAATAAAACTACTAGGCCAGTACTTGAGAAGTCAAAACAACAACAATTAAATTTTAAACATTGTTCCATCCCATTCAAATCGAAGGCATTAGATACATACACAGACAATTAAGTTACACATGCATTTTAATGTAAATTCGCCCACAAATCTCCTAACACAATAAAATTGATGTAACTCTCCGAATACAGCGCCGTCTTTGAACACATCAACCCACATAATTATTCTCCAATTCATCTTATGTACAGGAAATTTGTAATCATCTAATGATTGTGCTATAATTATATTATTCTTACTGTTTAGGGTACAGTAGATAAAAGGTTTCAATTCTAATTAAAATGTGATTATGAATCCACCACGCAATCCTTCCTTATGCTGATGCTATATTCATGAAGTCTTGGACTAGACATAGAAAAATAGAATAGAATAGAATAGTATATAACTTTATTGTACATCATTAATAATATAGTACCTACATACAGAAAAGTAAATGACAAACATAAAGAAAAATAATAATGGGCACAAAGGCGGTCTTATCACTTATAGTGATTTCTACCTGACAACCTGACAACCAGACAACTAGTTATTGTACCAAACACAAATGCATGTTTGTCGATTGTTAGGTTTCCCGCAGTGGACTTTACGCTGTAACTGTAGCGCCGATGGTTTAAATTAGCTTGAACCGATATTATAAATGTGGAAGGGAGGTAGATTATGGTCTGAAGGCTCTTAGGCTACTTTTGACCCTTGGGAACGCGGGCCAAGCAGCTGGCAGAAGCCAGTAAATAATAAAATAATTTTGAGATTAATTGAAGTACTACAATTTTATATTAATATATGTCAAAGTCAAAGCATTTATTTCAATTAAACCATTATTTGGTAATTTTGAATCGTCAACAAATACAAAATAAATAAGTCTGTCAGTTAGTCCGTCAGTGAAGCTAGGTGAAGCTAGGTGCTCATTCCAAAATGTAGATTCGAATGAAGAAGAACGAGCAAAAAACTCCATTCGTTACTCTTTTTAAAAATTATGTTCTACAATTTTCTATTATGCGGAACCTTACTACTAGCCATAAATTTTTAACAAGGATAAAATAAATAACGACTTCAATATTTAACCTGTTGTGAGTAGCCGTAGGCGAACTGGTTCCAACAAGATACGCCATGGAATCCGACTGAATTCTTGCAAAGGTCAAGGTGATTCAGTTTTGGACCTTATGTACTTTAATAATATGGTAGGTACATATTTAGCAGCTGTTCCCATGGCGATCTTGAAGCAATAATTATGGTAGATCAGATGGTACTTAGAGTTTGATTTCCGTAGTTCATTATGAGAATTGAAACCGATGTATAAACAGACAAAAGATTTTTTGTTGTAGTTTTTGTTGATCACCATATGAATTCAATATTTTGATTTGATTTGATAATGTCTTGATCGATATTGTTTATATTGCTAAACACAATTAGGCTAAACTATAGGTACATAGATAATAATAGTGCTTCGTTGGCTGTGTGGTCGCAAATGCGACTGCCGGGCAAGGGGTCTCGGGTTTGATTCTCGGATTAAGCAAAGCATTTAAAAAAAATATCAGTAGTAGTACGGAGCATGGAATTGTGCGCGGTATATGTCAATAGGCTCACCCCCTATTACATGGGACTCATAACATAAATACTGAAAAATGGGAACACCCATTTGTAATGTAACAACATTGTACAGTGGCATTAATTGCTGTAACGTGCACTTCTGCCGAACCCTTCGGGGATAAAAAGGCGTGATGTTATGTTATGTTTTATAATACTAATCTTATGCCGGAATACTGAAACGTTACTCAATTTTAAGTCGTGCTTAAATATCGTGCCATCTCTATCATTTTACAAAGAATTTGTAGAGACAGAACTATACTTAAGCGCGACTTAAAATTGAGAACGGTTTGAATATTCCGACATTAGTTCAATTGCACACAAATACAGGTGCCCTTTCATGATACGATGGAGCCATGTAATACGATTGTAGTGTGTATTGTGCCCAGAAGTAAGAGCTCAGCCCAAGTATTTACTAAGGAAATGAATTTGAATAGTTAAGAAATTATTTACGTAAAACAATGCTGTTGTTACTATAGGTAACAACCAACTTCCCCATTTTGAACTCTAAAGAAAATGTAATAGGTACTAAAATGTTTTGTACTCTTTTTCTCATAAGCTGCTTAAAATATATATTTTTTTTTATATCATGACGGTGGCAATAAAAGCACCTGATGGTAACCGGCTACCGTGACCTATGTACGCTTGCAACACGTGGGGCCATTACATAGCCCGTACTTATTATGCCAATTTGATTTCCACAGTTAGGTATTAATAGAGTGACGATTTTTTACAACTAAAATGTAAATATTCCAGATACCTGGACTGGATGAACTTGCTCTCATACGACTACCACTCTGCGTTCGAGCCGGCAGTGAACCACCACGCACCTCTCTACCCCCTGGAGGAACCCAACGAGTACAGCGTCGACAATGAACTTAACATTGTAAGTATTATGACAAATTCATTAATAATATAAATTCTTAATGAATATAAAAAAATGACTGCCTTGTTGACCGAGAGGTCGCAATTGCGACTGCCGGGCAAGGGGTCTCGGGTTCGATTCCCGGGTCGGGCAAATATTACTGGGTTTTTAAAAAAAAATCAGTAGCAGCAAGAAGTCTGGAATTGTGTCCGGTATATGGCAATAGGCTCACTATTACATGGGACTCATAACATAAATAGTGAAAAGTGGGTGTTACATTGTACAGTGGAATAATGTACACCTCTGGCTACCCCTTCGGGGATAAAAGGCGTGATGTTATGTTATGAATACAAAAAATCGATCAATTTATCACCTTCATAAAATAAGCTCCTGAGACCTTAGTACGAGTTTCTTTTACGTTTAACGTAATCGAAACGAGTACGCGTTCGGCGCTCTGATTGGTTGCTTCATTAGCGCCGGCCAATCAGAGCGCCAAACGCGTACTCGTTTCGAATACTTTAAACGTAAATTAAACTCGTACTAAGGCATCTGTACATTTGAGGCTTTGCTATAATTTCTAACTTTTTTTTGGTTTGAGTGGCGAAAATCATCCAATTACTTCTCCAGCCCGAGTGAGGCGAGAGGGAGTGTCACTTATAATTTCTAACTTTGACATGCAGGTGGTAAATCGAAGTTTAAAAGAAAAGGTTTGTTAGAGATCAATATCTCTCGGTCTTCGGCCTCTGTCGTATGTGGTCCCTTAATCGACTCGTACGAAGCTCGTGGGAGAAGTCGGGGTGATGACAAATATGTCTGCTGTCACCACATGGCCATACTATTACAATATATTGATCAAAATTTAGTCTCAATTTTTTATTTTGCTAAAACCGCACTTATTATACGGTGTAGCTCATTATACTGACTTTTTGTAATCTAGAACAAATTTGCGTGCGTTTAGGCGCTTTTGCCATATCTATTATTAGAAGCAAGTATAACAGCTCACACATAGGACAAACTTAGTTTTTAGTCAAATTTCCGTGGTACTTGGCGACTGGGCTTTACCCAGTTGTACAGTTTCTTTTTATGCATTTAGGCTTAATTCATTCTGTCTCCTGCAGTAATTCACCGAGGGAAGTAGAAACTATCGTTTTTTTTCTCCCCTCTTATAATATCTTCTGATTCACTTCGTTGCGGGTACCAAGACAGTTATTCATGTCTCTGGGACGCGGCGGACTTCAGTGTTCCGGTATTTTCATGGTTGTATCTACTGTAGATCCTAGCTTACAAGAGTTGCAGCGGTTTCGGGAGGTTGGGGCAGGCTTGTCTCATAAAAAACCGCACTTAGCATGCTCTAGATGTCACTATAAAAAACTAGTCTAACTTACAAATCAATCAGACTGGTCTATTGTAGACGGCAGCCAGACGTAGGCTTTGCAAAATATCATCACGACTTGACCTTATAAGGTATAGGACCTTATACCGGTACAGTACAATGAGGTGCCCAAGGTCGTTTTGTTTGTGTAATCTATTGTTATCAGTAAAGCTTTAATAGAGAAAGCTGATCAAATCTTCTTCGTGACTACATCTAGATTGATGCCATTGAACATGTATGAACAGCTATAGTGATCGATTTCCACATATCCAGTGACTGAATGAAATGTGCTTTCTATTTGTTAATGCATTGTTTTCTGTTAATAGACTTTTTGAAGGAATTTGTCTCTTAAGTGGGTTTTTTAACTATTTCCTTGAAACTTTTCGTAAATAGCAGAGAGATATCATAACATAACATCACGCCTTTTTATCCCCGAAGGGGTAGGCAGAGGTGCACATTTCGGCACTTAATGCCACTGTACAATGTAACACCCACTTTCCACTATTTATGTTATGAGTCCCATGTAATAGGGGGTGAGCCTATTGCCATATACCGGGCACATTTCCAGACTCCGTGCTACCACTGAGATTTTTAAAAACCCAGTAATACTTTGCCCGACCCGGGAATCGAACCCGAGACCCCTTGCCCGGCAGTCGCACTTGCCACCACTCGGCCAACGAGGCAGGCAGAGAGATATCCTATTATTATAAACCAAATTACAAACCTAATAATATTAACCTATTTAATAAATCTTAGCACTCATGACACATGACGTGCAGTAGCCCCCATTTAAATTCTTCCACAAAATTCTCAATCGTTTCATTTTTATTTCCAGGACTACACGATCAAGTTCTACATAGAAAGTGGTGCCGATCCTTCGAAGCTGGTCCTCGGTATACCGACGTATGGTCGCTCCTACACTCTGTTCAACCCTGATGCAGTGGAGATCGGATCACCAGCTGACGGGCCTGGAGAACAAGGAGATGCTACAAGGGAGAAGGGATATTTGGCCTACTATGAGGTAAGATATCGTAAAAGTTTAAAGACTACAATCTGAAACGTCCAATGCCAGTCATAAAGTGGGAATAACTAAACAAAGACATCAATAGGAAGTCAAAGTCATTATCAGGTAGTCAATAAGTTAAAAATCAATTAGAATATCAGAAAATTGTCAGATTTAACTACAGTGGCACAGACGTTGATTTTGATGACCATGTAGTAATTTTTGATACAGTCCTAAAAATACAGAATATCGTTACAATGTAAATAGGAGTTATTGTCACTGCATTCTATGCTACAGACATAATCAGATCAGTCCATCAAGATACATATCTGGTCGATACCAGTTTGTCTCCACATCAACCACTTGTCACTAACAGATCTTGTTGCCATGCATTCATTAATTGTAATCGGATTATTGTCATGTTAGTATTTCGTAGCTAGGTGTTCAAGGTTAACCATGGTTTTCAAGGTTATTAAAGAAACCATAATAACAGTATGTTGTACGTACGCTAAGCTTACGATATCCTTATCATCCATTTTTAAACAGTGGCAAATATTCAATCTTCAGGAACAATTTTAAACCCTTTATAAGATTTTTAAGCAAACCTTTTAAAATTCTTTAATTACCTATATTAAGAACACTACATACAAAAGCCTAGTAATACTTCTCATGTAACAGTGTTAAAATGTTTAGAAATTATTTTTTTCATGATTATCTCGCTGGGACTGAGACCAATTCAACAAGTTAAGAATAATGAAAATCTGACCAACCAACTGTTCAAGTCTTTTAAATAACCAGTAACTAAAGGATATTTGACTTTCCCCAGATCTGTGAAGCTCTAAAACCTAAAACGAAGAAGCGTCAGACATCAGAGGAAGATTCCGAAGAGTATGATGATGAGGAGGATGAACCCTGGACGGTGATGCACCCTAACCCTGATGCGATGGGACCCGTGGCATTCAAGGGCAACCAGTGGGTCGGGTACGATGATGTAGACATTGTCAGGAAGAAGGCTGAATACGTCGCTGAAAATGGACTTGGAGGTGAGTTGATAAAAACATAAGAAACCGAAATTCTCAGTTCGAGGCGTAACGGACTATTTGGTTTAAGCGACATTTTGGTCGATATTGAGTTATATATATTATGTTACGGTAAATCTGATTAATTGAAAATGATTAATATTTTTACAAAATTATTAATAATAACCACATGTTTTGGTAAATGTGAATAAACGATCGAAATTTATTACTTTTAGTAGTAATTATTAATAATTCATGACACATATTGGTAAAAGTTATAAAATAAATAAAAATCCAATGTTTTTTGACCAGCAGGTATTTATTTATAATATTAAACACAGTCTTACAATTATATTAATTAGAGATCACACAAACTTTGTTACTTGTACTTGCAAACTAAGCAAACAACAAAGCAAGAAAGTCTTTCGTGGTACATAAAATTGTAACAAAAATAAAATTAAACAATTATTGTTTCATTAACAAAATCAACACGAATCCTAAAAGCAATCATTAACAATCATATTTGGTTTGCCTGTAAATCTTCTGTAGCACCCATAAATGCAACAATTTAATTTTTAAAAGTATTACCATAGAATTCAACAAATATTTGTTGTGCAACTAAAATATATTGCTATTTAAATTGCAATAAAAATAACATCAAAATAAAACAATTAAAGACTCATAAAAAAAAAGAAACCAAAAATATTATTTATTTTTGCAAGAAAGACTTTTATGGCACTTAGAATTGCAAAGAACGTGCATTTTTTGCATTTGCAGCGATTAGAGTTGCATTCGCCAGTACAGTTACAGTGTTGAATGCCCCCCCCCCCCCCAAATTTGAGTCCTTGCGGGCACAATCTCGCCCCGCAACCCTTGGCCACTTATTACATTTATCACTACTAGGGTTAAATTATTAATAAAAACCGACAAATGTGATTAACTTATCACTTTAACCTCGACTTTTGGTAATTATTAATAATAATAGATAATTATTTATAATCTTCAACTCTTCTTCAATTCACTCTTACCGTAACATATATATTCGGAATCAGTGAATTTTTCTCCGTCGAATATTGTATATAATAACTCAATATCGCCCAAAATGTCGCTTAAACCAAATAGTCCGTTACCCCTCGAGTTTGATTTTTGTATTGTATGTTGTGCACGATTATCTCACTATTGGCTTAACCGATTTTATTGCGGTTTTCTAAAAAGTATTTATTACACTTAGGAGAAGGTTTTATTAACTTCAAAAATGAGGGGGTAGAAGTAGGTTTTTTCAACGTGGTTTACAAAAGAATTATGTATTATTTGACTATTTATGTAAAATATATTAACGAAATTAAAATTATATTTATGTACGCATTCATTCCCTGAAGGGTGATACAGAAGTGAATTTATCGTACATCAAATCACCAGTTACGCAATAGCAAAAACCCGATTGCCATTTATCGGTTATAGTTCCAGTCATGTTGAGTGCAAAGTTCTGACATAAGTACCTTTTTGTGATATAATTTACAAAATCATTTGTGATTATATTCCAGGTATTATGTTCTGGTCTATCGACAACGACGACTTCCGAGGCGCGTGTCACGACAAGCCATACCCACTCATTGAAGCCGCCAAGGAATCTTATTACGCTAAACTTGGGTATGTATTTATTTTTATCAAGAACAAAATTAGCAATAAATATAACGATTTTTCGATCTAAACTTTACTTTCTGCGTTACAAAGTTCATTTTAATTATCGATATCATTGTCTTCTCCATCAGATCTACCGACAACGCCATCACGGAGAGGGCACTGACCCGTACCTCTACCAGGAGGAGGAGCAAGCCAAAGAGCACCACCACCACGACAACCACCACTACCACTACTCCTAAACCTTCCAAGTGAGTAGTCACGGAGCACATAAGTAACAGGGTTCACAAAACTGGTTACTGCCGCTTCTGCAGACACTCATCTGATACTGCATTTTAAGTGCCCCTTCACATTAGGACGTAGGACGTACCCCTTCACATTATAAGAACATCAGTCGACACGGCTAGAGTCGCCTAAATATAAAAGAGCTCTAAGTTTGACTGCAACCTAAAGTGTACACACCACATCAGTAGTATCAGAAATTCACCATTCAGTTGTTATAAAATGATTCTGTAATTTAAATCAAGTCGTAAAATAACATGATATTATGATAAAGAAGTACCTACTTAGAACATCATTTTCAAACTGATATCGTCAGGGATAGTGCAAATCCGCTAATCTACCATACGAAAAGGCCGCATGTCTGCAATAGGATTACTGGATGTTTTACACAAGAAAACTTGCATTAACTACATTAATCAGATATGTGCCTACAGCCCTAGATTACAGTATGATGTCATTTTGTCTAGTTGTATAAGTCATGTGTATTCCTAAATAGAGCAGTATCGATTTGTGCATCGCAATAAACAAACTGTACTGTTTTACTGATACTCATCTAAGTAAGTACACCAAAATATACCTCAGATAACAAGTGCACAGATACGCGGAATTATCAAATGCTAGTTCCGCGGATTTGTATTATCCCTGACGATATGCAATTACTGTAACCAAACAACAATAATGACTTATTTGTATCTCGTTCAGAAGCAACCGTCGCAAGCCTAGTACCAGTGTGACGAGCACCACTCCAGCTTGGAACATCATCACTCCTGAACCACCCACCACTCCTGACCCAGGATCAGGTAATTAAGAGAATCCTTATACATGCAGGTATTACTTCAAATTTTTATCATGATTATGATAAAATGATCTAACTACTTACACTAGATGTCGACAAAAATAAGTGTAAAAGTAAAATATTTTTCGTTTTTATCTTTGAAACTTTAGCACTACTAGTATTTTATTCCTTGGTTTTATTTTCTTCTAGACTTCAAGTGCGTTGATGAAGGCTTCTACCCTCACCCGCGTGACTGTAAGAAGTACTTCTGGTGTCTCGACTCCGGACCTTCCAACCTCGGCATTGTGGCTCACCAGTTCACTTGTCCTTCTGGTAAGTCCTCATTTCATTGTCAGCTACAAGACGTCTGCAGTAGCAGTTAGTTCTCCTCCAAATGATTTCTAAATCGGTCGGTTGAAAGTATCTTGTTAGTTTAAGTTCATTGTAGATTAATTACAATAAGAAAATAGATAAACTAGTGCTGTATTTGTTTGTTACATTACTACATATATATACCTATTACATATATACATATTACAAGGGGCTCATAACATAAATAGTGAAAAAGTGGGTGTTACGTTGTACAATAGCATAATGTGCACCTCTGCCTGCCCCTTCGGGGATAAAAGGCGTGATGTTATGTATTTGTTTGTCTATGAATGAAAGAAATAAAATTAAAAAAGTTAAAGTAAATCTGATAAATTAAAAAATCTCAAATAAGAATTTCCTAAAACATTTTAATAGCGGGATTGTCTTCACATAATTATAAACCATCTCCCATTCATTTTAGGTCTATACTTCAACAAGGCGGCAGACTCTTGTGACTTTGCTCGCAACGTGCTGTGCAAGAACAAGGACCCTCCTGCCAAGGCGCCGACCACTCGAGCCCCCACCACCAAAGCAGCCACCACTACCACCACCACCACCACCACCACCACCACGACCAGACGCCCCATCAGATTGAGCACCAAGAGCTCCTCACTCTTCAGAACTACCTCTACTACTACTCCTGAACCTGTGGTAAGAAATCATGTGAATATGTTTGTTTATTTGTCTGTTTTTATACTATTCGCTCACGTCAGAAGTGACGTGATTTTCGTATAGATGATCCCAAGATGTATTAAATTTACAAAATAACTTATAATACAAACTGCGTTACAAATTAATATATTTAATTATCATCTTTCCAAAATCACAGATAACGTTAGTTTGGCCAAATTAATAAAGATCTATTGCTAATTAATCAGGAAGAAGAATATGAAGAGGAATCAGCCGAAGAGCCAACTGACGAGGACGCAGAAGATCCCAAAGTCATCAAGGAACTGATCGACCTCATCAAGAAAGTTGGTAAGTTGCAGATATCAAACCATAATTTAAACAAACAAACCTTCTCCGTGTGAGAAGAGGCTTTGCTCAGCAGTGTATATAGCATGGGCTGTTGATGATGAATTTAAACAACATAACTACTTCTGCCTCATTGGCCGAGTGGTCGCAATTGCGACTGCCGGGCAAGGGGTCTCGGGTTCGATTCCCGGGTCGGGCAAAGTGCTACTGTGTTTTTTAAAAATCTCAGTAGTAGCACGGAGTCTGGAAATGTGCCCGGTGTATGGCAATAGGCTGACCCCCTATTACATGGAACTCATAACCTCTGCCTGCCTCTTCGGGGTAAAAGGCGTGATGTTATGTATGTATGTTTTATATGTAACTACTTCTGTTTAATGGTCCACTAACAGAACGTAACCCTTCGAATATTTTAGAAAATATGAGAAAGGGATGTCATAATTTAAAATATCTACAACCAACTAAAATTATCAGTGAACTAATTATTGTGCATATCCATAGGTGGTATAGAGCAGTTGGAGAAGCAACTTGGATTTGGTGAGAACAACCAGGCGAGCACAGACGGTGTCATCACGACCACACCTTCTACGTTCAAGAAGAAGCTGTACCAGAAAGTGTTGGAGAGGACTCGTGGCAGAAACAGGTCAGTTTCACTTAACTTCTTAATCCCCCATAATGAAAAATCCAGAACATTGTTTCATGTAAAAGTAGTCTCAATACATCAGAAATAAGGCCTATAATAGAGTAAGTGGACTATAATATTTTACTAGTTACTTAAAAAATCTTAGCTTTTACTTAGATCTATTGTGTATGTAGAAATCCATCATAAGATAAAATAAGTGGCCAAACCTTCACTTCTTTAAAATCAATAGATAGACGAACATGAATCTATAATTGTAGTGTCATTTTGACTTAAAAAACATTCTGTAATTGTATTTATACAGAGGCATTTTAATGTATGTAAAAAATCTAATTAAACTAATATGTTTCGTGCAGGTATACTGGACCGAACAGCATTCTGGAAAATTCTGGACAAAACAGCCGAGGTGGACCTCAGAACGCTGGCATTGAGCCTTCAAACGATAGGGATAAGCTTATAAGAAAGGATCGGCCACAGTGAGTATTTTAAAGTAACAATATCTATTAATACGTAGATGAATACATGGTCCAAAAAGTTCGACTAAGTTTTTTGATATATTTGTATATTATAAAGAGTTCAGCATTAAACATTTTATTACAAGAACACGTTTGTAAGCAGCCAGTGCTTTATACAGATCCCTATCAGAACACATCAAACCATATTGAGTTGTTGTACTTACTATTTAGTATATCCCTTTTTTTTACTCTCAGTAGTAGCACTGAGTCTGGAATTGTGAAACCCGATATATGGCAATAGGAGCCTATTGCTATATATGGGGTGGGCACCCCCTATTACATGGGACTCATAACATAAATAGTGAAAAGTGGGTGTTACATTGTACACTGGCATTAAGTGCCGTAATGTACACCTCTAGCTTACCTCTTCGAGGATAAAAGGCGTTATGTTATATTTCTATTTAGTGTTTTTAAACTAACACACTGAAACAAATAAATTATCAGTAAAAAATTATCTAGGTACACAACAATCAATCGTCAACGAGGAAAAGGTGCAACTGAAGCCACTCCGGAAAGCGAGGAGACTGAGGAGGAACAAGAAGAAGTGCAGCAAGTCTTCAGAGCCAAGTCCGTGGAGACAGAGACCAGGGTCGGCACCACTGCCAAGCCATTGCAGTATGTGAACATCAGGAGAGCCAGGCCAACCACATCAGACACTGCTGATGATACTGCTTCGAGGTTAGAAGACTACATACATTATTACTACTACAGTCTTTGGGGCAGTCTGTGTTCACTAGTGACGTCTTGTGACTGATATGATCATTAAAGTTATAATATTTTACAGCATTTGGATTACTATCAATTTTCATACCATTGTCTACAGTCAAAAGATTGAAACTAAAAGAACATGCTTCGATTTCAAGTCGAAATACTTATGGCATTATTTCATTACAGGAACGCTCTATTCGAACGCTCAGAGCCTCTAGTTACTGTATCTGACTCATCGAACTCTCTGGACATCATTAGCGCGAGGCGAGAAAACACTCCTGAATACGTCACAATCAGGAGACAGCGACCGACCACTGAGGAAACTACCACTGTCCAGTAAGTTTTACATTCCGAATCAATATAAAAATGGTATGTGTCATGTCATTCGTATTAAGTCTTGTTTTCTAATGGGTTAATTTCTCTTTTCTAGATATGAAAGTTCCGAAGAAGAAGAAGAACAGCAAGAGACTGCATTGGAAAGAGAAATATCCACACAACCTCAGTACACTTCTATTGTACGGTCTCGCGCTACTTCCCGTCCCGAAGAAGAGCAGCCTAGCACTGAATCCCCTGTACTTAGAGTACGTTCCACTACCGTAGCCACTGAGGAAACCAGTAGCCCTGACCCTACTACCGTCCTAGCTGTACAAATATCCTCTTTACTTAACTCTCCGAGCTCTGAAGTTGAGACTCCCGAGACCGAATCGCCAGCGCCAACGACTGTAGTTGAAACGACCACGACTACCACCACAACGACTACTCAAGCACCGCCCAGTCCCAGCACTCGTCGTTCTCTGATCAGACGACGTGGCTCCACCACCACACCAGCAAGTACTGCCGCCCCATCAAGCACCACCCAGGTGAGTCCCAGGAATTATTCTTTCGTGACCCGCCGACGACCATTGCCAAGGCCAAATGAAATATCTTCGGATTCAGACGATTCAGCTGACGTATCGCGTAAAATCAGATCTACTACACCCGATAGTCGCGAAGTAGATGTTGATACACCCAGGGAAACCGGTTCCAGAAGGTTTAGGAGTAGGTTCCAAGTATCTCAAAATGCTCGAAGTGATGATTCTATTCCCGCCGCTGCTTCTCCCGTTTCTAGAGGACAATTTAAACCACAAATTTTAAGCCCTGATGAAGTTATTTCTTTGACACCCATTGATGTCGAGCCGCAATTTGTTCCAAGACAGGTTTCCAGTTTTAATTCTAGAGCTGATAGGCGTTTCCGTAGACCTACAGCTAGTCCTACTTCAGATGAGATTCCTGATAGTGAAGGTTCTGCTGCTACAGTTGAAACTAGGCGACCAAATCTTCTCCCTCGTGGTCGCAGTCGATTTACAATAAGTTCTACAACGGAGTCTACAGCCCAACCTGTTTCTATTTCATCATTTGCTCAACGAAGGCCAACTTTCGCAAGATTCACTCCGCGACCTTTTACACGATCAACATCAGCGCCAAGTGAAGTCGATGAAAATGATGAAAACGCTGATGCTCCTGAAGAAACTTCTACGCAAAGAATTGCACCACGTCTACCATTTGGTAGGTCTAGGCCATCACCATCAGCTTCTCCAAGCATAGTAGCAAGAAAGTTACCATTCCCATCTCGTCAATCTACGACGCAGCAAACTTTGTCTAATGACGATGATGACGATGATGAGCCAGAAACCCGTAATGATGATATTTTACTATCTGAAAGCGCCCGAGAAGAGAAAGAACACGAAGAAAGTGAAGTGGAAGAGGAAGCACCCAAACGCAGAGTTATTGTTAAGAAACTGAGAGCACCTGGTGCAAGTGATGGAACTGTTTCAACCGAAACAATACCAAGCGATGATGGTAAAAAGAGATTCAGAGTAATAAGACGTAGACCTACTTCTACAACGGCATCTCCAGAAACAGTTCTCGCAACTGAAGTCCCAACTGGACCCGGGCCTCAGAGAGTACGAAAGATTATTCGTAAAAAGATAAAACCTAGCGAAGAAGAACCAGAAATAACAGCTAAAGCAGTCGATTCTCTTAGCACATTTAGGAGCTCAACTACTGAAGAATTTAACTACGGCGAGAAAACCCGATCGACTACTACAACTACTGAAAGTGTGACAGAACCTATTATTGAAGAAGTAACTGAATTTTATAAGGAGAAGAAAGTTAAAGTAGAACTGCAAAGTGAAAATGTTGAGACTACAACAGAGGTGACATCAAAAGCAACTGAAGTTGCAATTGAAGAAACCACAGCAGCTCCTACTAATGTGGAAAGTAATACTAATAGTGAAACGGAAGAAAACAAGAATAAAGAAAGTGAAACAGTTACCGAAGTGACAGACGCTAAATCTGAAACTGAAACTAGTTCGAATACTGAAACTAAGTCTGTAGAAGAAACTAAAGAAAACACTAATGTATCTGAAGGCGAAACTAAAGTTGATTCCGAATCCAAACCTGAAAATCAGCCAGATGTGGCAGTATTATCTGATGGTACTACTGTAGATATTTCTGAAAATAAGGAAACAACTAACACTGAGTCGTCCGTTACGGAAACTGAGGGTTCACAAACAGAAACAACTACAGTAAGCACAACTGTTTCTACTTCACCGTCAGGCAGAACTAGGCTACCTTACAGACCACGTAAAAAGTTATACACCCCATCCACAGAACCAACAGTTGCATCTACCAGTAGAGTTTTTAGCCGTAAATATAATCCTGGTGTATACACAAGTCCTGCAACTGCAGACAGGCCTTCATTCAGACCAAGCGGAACCACGAGAAGACCATTCTCCTCAAAATTGTTTACTAGGAGGCCTTTTACCCCTAGAACCACACAAAGAGTAGAAGAAGAAGAAGATTACAATGACGAAGAAGAAGTGTTGGATGAAGAAACCGAACCAGAAAACCCATTCGTGTTCGTGCCACCAAACCAATTGTTTACAAGGAAACCTGATTCCGAGGAGGAAGGCGATGAAGCTGCAAATTCTGAGGAGTTATTGGAGGAAGAAGAAGAAGTACCTTATGATGAAGAAGCTGAAGAGGAAGATACACCATCAAGATTTGCTCTTACAACACGGCGGCCAGGCTTTAGACCACGTGTCGTTAACTCTAACACGTTCAGAACCTCTACATCAACTACAGAATTGCCAAAGAGATTCCCAAGCTCTCAAAACAGAACTGGTATCATCACCAGATTCAGTAATAAGCCAGCAGTCGATGGTAAAAAGCGAGTACAAAACGTACCTCCAGGTTATAACTCTCCTGTTAGTGCACCTAGACCTAAAGGTCTTGCTAACAAAAATGAAACTCAAACTCAAGATGCTGAAAAAGAATCTAAGGATGTGACAACCACAACTGCTGCAGTCACTGATGGAGAAACCACTACATCAGTTGATGATGATTATCTCACGGTTACTTCAACTATATCAACTGACGGTAAAGACGCTACGACTACTGATGACGTATCCACAACGAACACCATTCCCATGGAAACAGCAACTTACCAAATGGAAGTGGATGATAGTACGGATGATTACTTGGAAAGTACCGATACTACTACAAACCTACCTACTACACAAGATAGTACTACGAATTCTCAAACTGAAGCTGAAATTAAAACGACAATTGTACAAAATACTGCAGTTTATACCGTACCAAATACAGAAGTTACTACCGAGCCAGTGTCTACAACTGTTGAGATCACAACTACGACTGAGCCCAGCCCACCACCTCCACCCATCATTAAAACACAATTCAACAAGCTGTTCTCTGTCAGTAGAGTTGTAGAAGTTAATTCTAAAATTGACAAACACCACTTGAACAAGAACAACGAAACAACACTAATCGAAGAAGGAAAAATAATGGTCGAAAAGAAACCAGTTGTTGACAAAATTGGAGAAGTCAGTAGATTCAGTCTCATCAAAATTGTTGAAGATGAAATTCCAATCTATTTGACTAAATTCGGTCACGTGTACCCAGTTGAACACCCACCTGAAAATATTATTCGTATTGACGAAGCTAGAAATGCGAGGGCTTTAGTCGATACTTATCCCGACGCTCCTAAAGAAAATCTGGTCGCGTCTGAAAGTATTAACGAAGCATACAGACATGTCAAGAAAATTTCCAATGTTAAAGGTGAAATCAGTCATGTAGAACATTTACCAAATGATGATTTCTTGAGCTACGTGAACGAAGACAATAAAACTGACAAAGAGGACGGTGCACCATTCTCTTCATGGCAATTCGTTCCCGCAGCATACGAGAATGAACAAGTTAGAGGTGCAAAGAGCTTTGAAATAGTAACACCACGATCGATGCTGACAAACCCATCTACTTTACCTTTAGAAGGGTTGTTCAAAACTGAGAACCCACTTACAGCAAGAAAAGTTGGTGATGACAAGAATCAGCCATTTGTCGTTTACTCAGCTCCAGTAGCAAGCCAGCAAGAAGAAGCAAATATAGTCAAAGTGTCCGTCTTAAAACCCGAGTCTGGTCGTAGTATTTTGACATTCGCCAAGGGCCAAGAATTCAACGGAGGTTCTGCTGATGAAGTGGCTACCATTAAATATCCTGTTAACATTTCAGTTATTCCTTTAACTACGGAAAGCACAACAGCTTCTCCTTCTACACCTACATCTACTCTATCTACTGAGATTCCATCGACAACTTCCACAACGACCACGACAACTGAAACTCCTTCCAGTCCCATCATAGATTTACTTTCCACAACAATTTCTAGTACACAAGTTCCGACAACTATTTCAACAGAAGCACCAAGCTCTGTAGTTACAACTGAAACAGTGCCTGAAGTAACAACTACTGCGAAAGCATCTCCTTTGGACGCTAAACGTGCCAAGTTTGCCTTCCCAAGAAGACAAATCTTGAAATCCTCAAACTTCACGCGCCCCGCTATTGTCCCAAGAACTGTTAAGAAAATCAATGCGACTGCAGTATCTAATCTGAACCAGAAAGCTAACAAAACTGCTTTCAGTCCAAGTAAATCGCGTTTCACAGCAAACAGAGTTCAAAACGTTCCAATAGATGTTAAGAAGAAACCTAACACTCCCAAAGTAGCCATTAAAACGTTTATCACAACAAAGACATACACAACAGAAAGCCCAAAGACAACGACAGAAAGAAAAATATATTTCAAACCAATCAGACCCAACTTTAGACCCGCATTTATACCAAGAAAAACAACAACACCGCCCGTTACCACCGGAGACACCTAAAAACCGATTAAATCTAGTTATAGCTAGATTTAAGCGGTTCCCACTAGTAGGATCCGGTTTCCCTGGCCATAATAACATGAATGACTGATATTATTTTTATAATTGGTTTTTAATCTGCAAGCAATTCGTCTGAGTCGGAAAATATTACTTTTAATTTGCAGTTTTAAAATTGTCATTCGTTAATCTTCCAAGGCATATATTTAACATGATAATTTTGATGAAAATACTCTTTTTTATACTGATGGGATAACTTTTGTATATACATAGGAACACAACATCATTATAGTCATATTTCTTAGAGATTTTAATAGCTTTAATAATATTCTAGGTTTTAATGAAAGTTTTATTGTACCAAATAATTGTATTTATTAGTTCGTTTTGGTAGAAGAGACTTTCACCTTACAAATGTCATAGGTTATGATTAGAATACATTTATTTAAAGGTTTTATTATTATATTAATAATTATATCGTTACCATTAAATGTACATATGGATGGTTAGCATTGGGATGATTTTGTAATAATGTGAATGAAATATTGTAACATTCAAAGAAAAAGGTTTGTAATAAAGTATAAGAATATAAATTTTATGTTATTTTAGTTTGTAACTGATTTTATTGTTAGTCTTTGTTTGTGTTTGTACCCTGACGTCACAAATTTTCGAAGTCGTCACAATATCTTTAAGTTTTAAAATGTTTATTTGTACCTGTCGCGATTTTTAAGCACAAAATCTTGTTTGTTTGTGCATAACCGACTGGAATTTGGAGGTAAGTGCTTATTTATCTATTGTTTTCATTTTAACTCTAACTTAAATAAGATATTGAATATTTTGTCTTTTTTATAGACCTTATTATACTAAATACTTTAAAAATAAACTGCGTACGATGACAACAAATGAACAATATTACAGCAATTTTCGGGACAGTAAACAAAACACAATTTCAATTTTTTTATTTATTGTACAAAGTACATTTATATAATCATTATCTTAAATAAATTACATACTCATTATCTTAAATAAATCAACATAAAAATATTACAACTATCGCCACAATGATTCTATTCTCGTACATAAGACAAAATAAGTAGCTAGCTACCAATAGTGAATGCTTTATCCTTTTTTACCGGACGATTACCGTCATCAATGTTTTTGTATACAACTTTTAAAACGGCATTGTACTATTTCTTACTATGATCCGAACAATGAGTGGCTATTATTGAACACAATCGGTTCCCAGAGACTAAAGATTTTCTCATTGGCATGTCAAAATACATGGTTATGTGGACATTTCCTTAGAAATTGCGCATCTAACATAGGTATAGGTATAGTAATCTGAGTAGGTTTATGATTAGGCTTTCATAAGACTTTGAGTGCCAATAAAAAACTGTTGAAGGTAAACCCTCCGCTAACGTCGGTCACCGGTGACCTCCATGGCGTTTAACGTGATAAACCTGAAGCTGAAATATTGTAATTATGCTCTAACCTTACTTAGGAATTTATTTCGTGGAATAGCGAGAATAATTTACGTTTTTATTTTATAACTAGCTGGCCCGGCAAACTTCATATCGCTTATTTTTTTCTCACCTTTTAAACCTTCCCTGAACTTCCACAAACATTACAAGACCAAAATTAGCCAAATCGTTTCAGCCGTTCTCGAGTTTTAGCGAGACTAACGAACAGCAATGCATATTTATAGGTGTACTAGCTACTTCCGCGCAGTTTCAAACGATCTGCTCAGCTCCTATTGATCGTAGCGTGATGTTTATAGCCTATAGCAATCCTCGATGAATGCGCTATCCAACACAAAAAGAATTATTGTAATCAGACTTGTAGTTACGGAGATTACCGCGTTCAAACAAACAAACAAACAAAAAAACAAACTCTTCCGCTTTATATAATAGTATAAGAGTATAAGATAAGTATAATAACAATCGTTTAAGCTTTTAAAACGATATGTCTAGGGACCTGTTCATGCTATTATGACAGTAGATACTTGATACATAAATAGATAGACTAAAACAATACGTAATTTGGAACGTACAATGCACTTCTTTTATGAAAAACATTAATCAGTTAATGAAAAAATCTACTCCAAAATTAATTAAGCAAATCACGATCACTTAACTCGACATTTGTATCTAATTATTTAGGTATTACATACTACATACAAATACTAGATTCAAAGCAAGCTATTTAGTAAACAGTGCGTAAACTAAGGTAATTTATTAGCTTTTATTATTAGAGATAGATAGATGGCTATCCAAAAAGGCTGTTTATTCGTTCTGCAAATTAACTTTAAATTTTCCTTCGTGTGATATACATATATATATATATACAAATGGGGTACAATAAAGCATTTATCTATCTAATTACCTACGATAAAATCATAACATAACATATTACGCCTTTAATCCTCGAAGGGGTAGGCAAAGGTGCACATTATACCACTGTACAATGTAACAGCCACTTTTCACTATTTATGTTATGAGTCCCATTCCCATGTAATATATTGCCATATACCGGGCACAGTTCCAGACTCCGTGCTACTACTCAGAATTTTTAAAAAATACAGTAATAATTTGCCCGAACCGGGAATCGAACCCGAGACCCCTTGCCCGGCAGTCACAATTGCGACCACTCGGCCAACGAGGCAGTCAATGTTTAATAGTTATTTAATTAATTAATTAATTAATTATGTTAAAATAAACATTTGTTTTACTTAACAATAATTAACAAAATACATCCGTACATTACATCGCATTTGTAGATTTCACTAATATAGTACACAGAGGTGCACATTACGGCACTTAATGCCAGTTTATAATGTAACACCCACTTGTCACTATTTATGTTATGAGTCCCATGTAATGGGAGTGAGCCTTTTGCCATATACCGGACACAATTCCAGACCTCGTGCTACTACTGATGATTTAAAAAAAATATATAGTAGTATTTTTATGTAGTATATAATAGTATGTCAAAATTTTAACGGTTTTGTTGAGTTTTTAACTCTGCCTCGATTTAATACTAATTCTAAGTGGTCGTGAAAAGTCAGTAAACAATCATTGACTACGCTATGTATGGTTGTCTGAGTCATTGATGATTAACAATAGAACATTTTGTTTGCCATTCTAATTTGTGGGTACTTATTAGTCATTATTCTTGTCTATTATTATCATCCCGATCATTATTAGATATATTATTTAATACTTCATTTTGGAAATATAATTATCAATGCTGAAGCGGGATTGCCATTTATATTAAGATATAACATAACATAATATCACGCCTTTTTATCCCCGAAGAGATAGGCAAAGGTGCACATTACGACACTTAATGCCACTATACAATGTAACACCCACTTTTTACTATTTATGTCATGAGTCCCATGTAAAAGGAGGTGAGCCTATTGCCATACACCGGGCACAATTTCAGACTCCGTGCTACTACCTACTGAGATTTTTTTTAAAAGCCCAGTAATATTTTGCCCGAACCGAGAATCGAACCCGAGACCCCTTGCCTGGCAGTCGTGCTTGCGACCACTCAGCCAACGAGGCAGTCACCTTAACATATCTGATAAATAATTGTACTCTTTTAGTATTTATAGGAAAAATGACATGACTAGAATCACTAAGGGAATTTTAATAAACATACTAATGACTTTATTCACACCGCAGTAGGACACAAAATTAAAAAATACATTTATGTAGCAATGACCTGTATTGCATTAGAATTTTAATCACACATGAGACAACCTACACTGCCCTTCACTTTTATGTCTAAACCTAGCTGCCGATAAATGAAACCTAAACTGAGGTAGCCTAGGTTTAACGGTAGAAGTAACTAGGTAATCGTTTTTGATTGACATCTACACATTGCGGCATTGAAGGCTTAGCAATATTTTACGAAACTATATTTTTTACATCTAGAAATGGTGTTAATTAGGTATTATTGGTCAGTGTTTAAAGTTTTTTTAAAGTTGCCGTGCTTCCATTTTCTCATGTGTCGTGGGTGCGTTTACAAACATACAAGTTCACATACACATGACACCCAGACCCGGAACAACAATCTGTGGATCACACAAAGAGTTGTTCCGTGCGGGAATCGAACCCGCAACACGTTGAGCGGTAGTCGCATTGCGACTACTCGACCAACGAGGCAGGCGAATAGCAAGTACTGAAATATGAATAGATATCTATTATAACTTAATTTGATTTTTAATCAGCATTCTAAAAAGATAAAAATTTCAATTAAAATATGTTATGCTACCTAAATAAAAAAGAAACTATATGTTTCAGGCCCTAAGTTCAAAGTTCCACACCATAAAGATACTTACATCAATAAATAACGTAAAGTCGTGACTCCGGCGCGTTTTAAAATACTGAATCCTCTTGTAATTCTAACACATACTTACTTGGTTATAAATATGTCTGATATCTGAGACTATTCATTCATAATATTGTAGAAACGTGATTGTATTTTCTAAAATTCAGTGACAGCACGGTATCACAAACTTGTATTGGCTTACTCCCTATTATTCGGGACTCATAACATAGCTGTTAAAAATTGGGTGTTACATTCAGTAGGTGCACCTCTACCAACCAGTTACTTCTTAACTTATATACAAATCGCGCCTATAGAAAGACAATCCTTACTTTCCTTACTTATATTATAAATCGGTAAGTAAGTTTGTTTGTTTGTTCCGCTTTCACGCCGTAACTACTAAACCGACTGCTTTGAAATTTTGCAGATGTAAAGTTAGAAGTCTGGATTAAATAATAAGGTACTTTTAATCGTGGAAAAATTTGATATTTCTAAGAGAAAACAAAAACATTGGTATAGATGGCGCTGTGTGTATTGGTATAGATGGCGCTGTATGTCTAAAACCAGTCAACGAATTACCTACTTATTGGAAAAATCTAAATAGCACGATATAACCGAATTCCACGCGAGCGGAAAGCTATTTCTTTGTTTGCCTGTCTTAAACGGCAGAACGGAGG